TACCTCACCGGCCCACAGCAGCATGGAGGGGGGCAGGAGAGGACCCAGGGAGCTCTAGACAGAAGCTCCGCCAGGTTCCTCTCGCAATATCTGAGTGTTGCTGCGGCACCGCTCAGATCTCGCGAGAGTTAACTCTAGCCCCGCAGGCTAGAGTTCACTCTCCACTGGACCACCAGGGATGGCACATGGCAGCAAGGATTTACTAATCTGCCAAATCCCTCCAAACATACAGCACACACACATACATCACCTACACACATACAGCTCACACACACACAGTACACTAACCGCACCCTCACAAACACACACATCACCTTTAAAAAAAAACACAACACCCTCACACACACACACAAACAGCACCCTCACAAATACACGACACTCACACAAACAGCACTCTCACAGGACAAACATACACACGCAAACACCCTCACACACAAACAGCACAGTCACAAACACACACACACACAAACACCCTCACATCACACTAACAGCACCCTCACACACACATCACACTAACAGCACACACAGCAGTGTATGTGTGTGTGTGTGTGTATGTATCTATCTATCTATATATATATATATATAGATAGATAGATACATACACACACACACACACACGCGGCGTGTGTTTGTGCTTTAGGGTGCACACCCTAATGCAATAGGCTGCGCACGCCTATGACGCCAGACATCAAGCGCTCCATAGACATCGCCATGTCTTAAATAACTGCATACTCAGTTCGTCGGGACTCACTCGAAAGAGACACAGTGACCAATTACAAGCAAAGGTAGCAGCCCAGCAACTCCAACTGGAATCCCTAACATATAAGCTGGATGATTTGGAAAATCATATTTACAGAAATGATTTGAGTGTCAGGACTCACCTTTACCTCACTCCACTATGTCTCAGACTTCCTCATCTAATGTGGTCACACCTCCACTTAACTCCCTTGTTAAAAGACAGTTTAGTGAACCAGTGAGTTGCTCAGTTATTCTGTTGCCAGTGAATGCTGCAGTGATTTGCCCTGAGCTTTCTCTGATTTATTTCATTGTTTCTGACATTGCTATTACTTCGGATTATGCTGCCTTTTCCAATCGTGAACACGGACCTGAACTGACCTTGGATTACTGCCTTGCAATTTTGTACCTTGTATTGTACTTAAACTGTTATCTCTACTGTGAGGTCCCGTCCATAGTGCTATCCATAGACCCCGTCTCCGCTGGCGTGGGTCCAATGGTCTTGGGTGGTACAGCCGTTAAACCAAGCCCCTGAAGTTGTTCTGGGTCGTCAGCAGAATTCAAGGTGAGTAGTGCTTCTTCCTGGGGGACGATGAGAGAGCTCTCCATGCCCCATCAATATCTGCTCAACTGGTCTCGCAGCGTCTTTGCAATGGGGGCCAGTTGTCATCTCTCAGTTAGGACTGTGAACGGGAGGTTTCCGTACAGTGCTGCCGAGCAGCCCTCAAATATTACAGGGCTCTGGATCTGGCCATATTATGGGATCTTGCTGCAATGTCCTTAATGACTATGGTAGTGTTTCTGGGTGCCCCATCCGGACCCCCTGCCTTGCAGACTCTGAATGCCAACATCACAGGTGAAGGGTCTGTGCTTCTCTTTAGACCCATATATTCAACTAACTTCTGGGTAGAATGAAGCAGTTCCTCCCCTCCAACTCGTTCATGGACCCCTCTCAAGCGAATGTTCCTCTTTCTGTGCTTCTAGCACTGCCACTGTTCTGCTCAGCTGTTTGACCTGGTGGGTAAGACTTTCCACTTGATTTTGTGTTTTCTGTATCTGATTGTCTCTTGCTCTTGCCTTATCCTCAGTGGGGTTCAGTCTCCCATGGATGATCTTCATCTCGGCCTGGACTTCCTTAAGGTCAGAGTTCCACACCTGCCTCAGGTCCAGCAGTAACCTCTTGATGTCTTCTTTAGTGGAAGGAGATGAGTCCATATCTGACCTGGACTCCTTATACATCCTTTGTTCCTCCAGCTTCTCTGTGTGTCTCTTTGATCCCTAGCCCCTCTGTGTGTCTCATTTTCCCCAGCAACCCCTATCTCTACCGGTCACCCTGAGACTGTGTCCCCCGAGCCGGTGCGCCTTAGGCAGCTGTATAATCCGTCTAGGCCCTGCTCTTACTTAAAATTCAGTAATGAGTTCCCGCCCACACAGCTACCACCAGTCCAGGGCACTCCCATTCTCCTTTTTCATTAATGTTTCATTGATCTTTCCCTCCATGCCTAAGCACAAGCTACAGGCTTTATTCTATGTTATGTTTATCTGAAGTTATACCTGGATTCATGTGATATCATTATATTGTGGGTTGTTATGTGCAACATGATCCCATTCAGAACAAACAGAATGCTAGTTGTTCTTTCTCTTGAGTCTTTATGACTGAAATATTTTTCATCTGTCTGCTCAACACTGAAAAAAGCGAATAAAAAACCCCCCCACACACATTGAGTTCAAATTTAGCTGTTCCCACATCAACAAGGGTTAGACTTGGGAACTCAGCCGCCCAACTTGGCATGAAAAACCCAAGTTAAATTACTCAAAGTAACTGCCATGCCCAGCTCTGATTATGTAAAGTGACTCTGCCAAGTATAACATTAGCATTACCTCCATTTGAACCCTATCGATGTAGCCATTTACAGAGAATGATCATACATGTTCCAGCTCAATAAATTAAGTAAGTCAAACTGTGAATTTCAAGAAAACAAAAAAAATACAAACTTCGGCAATGATCCAGTCTCATTTTATATCTAATGTTACGATGTGGAATTATTTAATGCATGCACAGATGACCCAATGGGTGGCCCATGCACTTAGTGCCACTCAGTGGGTATGTGTCATCAGGGTCCTGATTGTGTGCTGTGGTGCTTTAACAGCAGGACTGGGCCCCTCTCATACTCGCAGGCTGGAAGGAAGTGAAAGCCAGTTACTTCCCCACCAGATTACAAACTGAGCCATATGGGAGGACAGGAGGAGGAGAAAGCAGAGAGGAGTTACAGTCTCTGACTCCTAGCAGGCCCAGCCAGCAGAAGCCATGCTCCTGCACCCAATAGGTAGGAAAATGGAGGGTGGCTAAAATGTATGTGTGTCTGTGAGTCTGTATGTGTGTCTGTGAGTCTGTATGTGTGTCAGTATGTGTGTCTCTGTGTGTTTGGGTGTCCTTCTGTGTTTTGTGTTTCTGTGTGTCATTGTATGTGTGTGTCTGTCTTTGTGTCATTGTCATTATTAATTAGAGAAAACTGCTAAGGGGCCCATATATTGTGGAATCTCCAAAAAATTGCCATCAGTTTGAAATGGTTAAAACATACCAAAACTTTGAAACTTTTAAATCAAAGACTGATGGATATATTGTTCCTAAAGCAGGCAAAAACTACCGAACTAATGAAAACATTTTTTTCCTGTGCGCTACATGTTTCAGCTGAAGTTGGATACTGTAAAGAGGATTTATTACATCCCAGTAATACACTCTAGACAAGGGGTGTCCAACCTGGGGCCGGGCAGACAGCTCTAAAATGGAATTTAAATTATTTCCCCCTTGGACTGTGACAGACTATGTCAGTCCAAGGGGATTGAAGTGAGAGGTGCCAGGGGCTGCTGCAGCCGTGTTTAGTGTGCTGGCAGCTGGAGGTGCCAGGTAAGCTTCAGTTTATTTGTCAGTGACTTTGTGTGTATGTGCCTGCCAGTGAGTGAGCTTGTATGTTTGTCTGTCAGTGCACTTGTTTGTATTGAGCATGTGTGTGTGTCAGTGAACCTGTCTGTAGAGAGCATGTGTGTCAGTGAGCTTGTCTGTAGTGAGTTTGTATATATGTGTGTGTGTGCGTATGTATGTATGTGTATATATATGTATATATATATATATATATATATATATATATATCTCATGTAGTGTGTGTGTGTGTGTGTGGAACTCTATGTTAGTGCAGCAGCTTCACCCGGAACACAAGCTCTGCCTCTGCATGGAAGATTGCCTCCCCGTACGCAAGCTCTGTCCCCAATCTCTGACTGAGACACACTGACAGACATACACAAATTCTGACAGACATACAGTGACAGGCACACACTCTCTGACTGAGAGACACACATTTTCTCACAAATAGCTATTTTTATTTTTATTTAAGTCCACTCAGCCTCCCTACCTTTGGGAGATCTGAGTGGATCTTTCCCTGGCGTCCAGTGTCTCCTCGCAATCTTCCTGCAGTTTCTCTCTGCTCCCCTGTGCGCTCTCTGTAGTGATGGGCCGAGTGACATCATGTCACTAAACAGCGCGCAAGGAAACAGAGAGGAACTTCAGGAAGGTTACTGCTCCCTCATGGTCTGCCTCCATGCTCCCTGCAGTGGCCGGCTTTAATTTTTCCTGCACGGCTTAGCAAAGGGCTGACAAATGCCAGACGCCAGGGCGAAATGTTTAGCCGCCATGGTGACCTAGCGCCAATTTGTCGAGCCCTTCGTATGTATCTGTGTGTGTATATATATATATATATATATATATATAAATATATACGCACAAACACATATACACATTTTATAACTGCCCCCCTTCTTTTGTCCCTAGCCCCCTATGTGCCCCCCTTAAGTATGAATCCTGGAGACACCACTGGTTTTTAGATAAAGTTTTAATGAAAGATTACACAATAATGTTTAAGAAATGCACCAACAGTGGATCAGGAACACAAGGTTACTTGGTTGCAGTCACTGAAACAGTAGAAAAACCAAGAGATTGTTGCTTGGTGTCAGGGGCTCTCAGACAGACCTGTATCACTACTATCACTATTTATTTACCAAATCAATGCATGAAGAGTGTGCATTAGGAGGATGCAGCAGACATCAATCTATGGACACTTTCAAGGCTGCCAAGAACTATATTGGTCTAGAAACAGTTTGTAATTCTGATGGCCAATAAGACTGAAATCCAAGACAAATTGTCATTTTTGATGTACAGTATATATAAAAGGTTAATGTGTTAATGTGTGTACCTACACATACATAGTGTCTAAAAGCATATAGTTTGATTAATGCGTGTGACGGTACAATCCTTTACTCCGTCAAGCATTCCCTTCTTCCCATAAAATAAAACCGCCAAGTAATCCACAGAGTAATAAATCGCTGGTATCGCCGAATAATCCACACATGAGCCAAGGTTCAATGCTGGAACAAGTCTGATTTACTGAGAAACAGGGCACACAATGTATACAGTACATAACTCCTCCTCTGGGCCAGGCTAGATAATTGGGTTTGAGCACTTATCAAACTCAATTATCGAATGGCCAGAAAAGTAAATTTTTTTACAATTACTAGAAACATACTTTATACATAACATATCAACATAAAAATATTGATATCCCTGGGTAGCTAAGGGTGATGTGAGCAACATATCCAAATTTTGTGAGAATCCGTTCAGTAGTTTTGGAGTTTATACCGTGTGGAGGTTTGACCGGCTCGCCACGAGGTTGTAGCCATGAAATCAGTGGTGCGAGCCGGTCTCCGTTCGGATAAAAATTGCACGAAAACCCCCATAGATATAATGTAACTGGTTACATGAGAGTGCTCCCCTCGTTCGGTAGATTGAAACTCCCGAACGCCATTCGTGTGCAATTTGTATAAATGGG